AAATACAAATGTATTTTGAACCATTATAGACAATTGTATTTTGTATTTTACAATTAGAAAAATGTATTTTAACTTCAAAATACAAAATACTTTCGAAAATACATTATGTTAATCGCACTCCTTTCCCCCGAGTATAATTTGGGCACCTGTCGCTTCATTTCCAGACCTCGTGCACCTGCAATCAGTCAGCAAGACGAGGACGAGGAGATGGAGGGCGTCTATCAAACGAATGATGACATCGACATTGATTATAGCATTGTCAAATTGGAATCTCCGATGCTCTCCGATACCTCCCGCAGTACAACGCCACTCATTAATTTCGTCGACGACTCTATCATCCGCGAAGATTTCATGGTTCAGCTTGAAAATGAAGACCAAGCTGTCAACCTGGTTTCCCAAACTTGGCTTGAAATGCTGGAAAAAGCTGGACAAATTCCGAAAACTACGACCAAACTTCGATACACCGTAGAAGCGGATGCGCAGCCCCGGGGAAAAAGTATTTCGCGCGTTTCGCTCCCCCATTTGACAAACCTAGAGTTGGACTTGCAAATTCCTCCCAAACTGATATCAAAACCCAATGCGATTCTTCTCCTGCGGAAAAATTATAACGTTGAGAAGCATTTGTTTTTATTTTTCAAGGAGAACAGAAACGACGACGTGAACATCGACTTCAAAGTTATTTTGAATGGTTGCACCTTCTTAAAATGGTCTCCAGCCGAGAAGGAGGTGATCGTTGGATTTGGCGGACTGCACTCCGAGCCGTTCTTGGAACGATTGAAGGACAAGAAGGTCATGGAGAGGTTCAACATGCTGACCATCGTGGACAATAAACTCGCAAGTGGTGAGTAAAAAAATTCAAAAATGTTAGTGTAAATAATAATTTGAAATTTAGCATTTCACTAAATTTCTCATTGAAATTAATATTTAAATTGGTTTGGACGGTACTATTTGAGGACATTTTGACTTGATTTTATTGATTATTGCGAGCTGTCGATCGCTTACAGCGGATCATCATCAGGCATAAATTAGTTTGAAAAAAGAAAACAGAGATACTACAACGTTGTTTGAATTTTTGGAAATTTCAATGACATAATATTCATGGATACATTAAAAAATTAATTAGTGTTGTGGACCAGATAGAGTTTATGGGCATTCCTTTTGATATATTCATCCTTTCTTCTTTTTTTATGTTTCTGATGAATAATCCTTCCTTGAATTTTCTGTAAAATTTCCTGGGTTCCTTAAGTATGAGTTTGTGGGAATTGGGGTCTAGTTGATGATTTTGTTCAATCATATGTTTCGCAACGGGTGAAATTGTTGTTGCTTCATTTCTAATGGCATTTTCATGTTCAGATATTCTTGTTTTGAAGTCTCTTTCGGTTTCCCCTATGTATTTGGCAGGACAGTCATTGCATTTGATGGAGTACACGCCGCATTGAGTTTTCTTGATTTTTTCTTTTGTATTGCATATCATTGTGAATAGCTTAGGTCCAGGATAATAGCCAATTTCTACTTCTAATTTTCTTTGTAAATATCGTGCAATTTTGGTTGTGACGTTTCCTGCCCAAGGTAAAATAATCCGTTTTTGTAGTTGTTTGGTGTCTTGGTTTTGTCCTGCGTTAATTTTTCGTTTGACTTTCTTCAAGCGGTATCGAATCATAGATTCTGGGTAGTCATTCTTTGTGAGTATTTTGATGGTGTATTCTATTTCGTTGTTGAGATGATCTTTGTCTGAGAGTTTGAACGCTCTTGTCAGCAGCGTATCAACTACTCCAATTTTGTGTGCAGGTGGGTGGAAGGAATGGAAATTTAAGTATTTATTGGTGTGTGTTGCTTTTCTGAAAATGTGATGGCCTAAGCTTCGGTCTGGTTTTTCGTAGAGCATCACGTCTAGAAATGCTATTTTGCCATTTTCTTCTTTTTCTACTGTGAATTTTATGGCATGGTGAAATCCATTGATTTGATTGAGGACAGCTTCCAATTTTCTTTTTCTAATAATTGCAAAAATGTCGTCAACGTATCTCCTCCAAAAGATGATGAACTTGTTCCTGGTGACTAGTTTGTGTTCTAAGCTTTGCAGATAGAGTTCTGCTACAATTGCTGAGATGGGGAACCCATGGCTGTTCCCTCTGTTTGGTGGTAGAATTTTCCGTCATATTTGAAATACGTCGATGAGAGGCATATTTCTAGTAGGTCCATAATATCTTCATTTGTCAATTTGGTCCAAGATCCATCATTTTTTTCGTTTAGAAGTTTTTTGATGTAATTCAAACTTTCTTCTATGGGTACCTTTGTAAATAGTGACACCACATCAAATGAGACCTTTGTGTCCCCTGGTCGAATTTTCAGGTTTTTTATTTCGGAAATAAATTCTGCAGAATTCTTGATGGTGTAAACGTGATTATTGCTCAATTTCTTCAAAATATTTGATAGATAAGAAGCTACTTGGTATGTTGGAGATTGTCGGAAGTCAACTATTGGGCGTAAAGGTACATTCTCTTTGTGAACCTTTAGTGCTCCGTATAAGATTGGTGCTCTCGTATTTTTTATGTTTAGTTTGTCATATTCCATTTTTGTGATTTTCTCCTCTTCTAGTAATTTTTTGCATCTCGTCTCAATTTCCTTTGCAAAATCTTGGGTGGGATCAGCTATTAATTCATTATACGGGCCCTCTTGAATTATATTTTCCATTTTTTGTTGGTAATCTGCTTTATCCATTATTACTACCGAATTCCCCTTATCTGCTTTACATATGCATATGTTTTGTGAATTTGTTAATGATTTAATTGACGTTTGTATCCAGTTGTCCCATTTGTTGAGGTAGTTTTTCTTATTAATATGGGACTTCATGATTTGGGTGATGCCGTCTCGAACTTGATCCTTTGTTTGATCTGTTAATTCTAAATCATAGTTCATTTTTAGTTCTATGGCTGCTGCTGAATCTATTAGTGGGATACGTAAGTCTTTCACTGGGAGAGAGTAGTTTAGTCCGAGTTGAAGTAATTTTTCTTCGTCATTTGATAGAGGATGAGAAGAAAAATTATGAATTGTTTTCTTCAGTGTCTCCTCTTCTTGACGTGCGGGGACAGGTAAAGTCGCAATTTTTTTGTTCGTGAGATTAGTGAATTTTTGGATATGTTTTTGTTTGATCTGACAGGAATAGCTTACTGTTGAGTCCTTGAGTAATTTGCATATCCAATTCCAATAATGTGGTAATATCTCGTCGTATTTCACTTCTCAAAGTTTTGATCTCATTGTCAAGATTATTCAAATGTTGATAATTTATCCTGAGTGTTGTTTTCATAAGTTTCCTTTCCGTTTCTTCTTGGAGTCGTTGAAGCATCTTGTTTTTTCCATATTGTTGTTGTAATGCATATGCAGTTAAGCTGTAATCCTTTTGGTATTATATCGAATGTCCTGCATTTATGTAGAAACACCGTATTATTTTGTGTTCGAGCTTGTTGTTTGTACATCCTTTCCAGTTTTCTAACTTTCTTTATTATAGCCCCACCGTTGAGCTTTTGTAGTTTGTTGTTTAATAACTTCCATCCTCGAGTATTATTTAAATTGGTTTGGACGGTACTATTTGAGGACATTTTGACTTGATTTTATTGATTATTGCGAGCTTTCGATCGCTTACAGCGGATCATCATCAGGCATAAATTAGTTTGAAAAAAGAAAACAGAGATACTACAACGTTGTTTGAATTTTTGGAAATTTCAATGACATAATATTCATGGATACATTAAAAATTAATATTGCTATATTAATATGCAATATTAATATCATTAATATTGCTCTTAGGATAAATGAATAAACAATTTTATCGCAGGTTTGAAATCTTTAAACTTTAACTTTACAATTTGATAAGCCAGACGAATTGTAAAACGATTTTATCGCTTTTAAGGGTAAAAGTAGAGGTGAGCGCGGGTTCGGGTCCAACCCTGTAAACCCGACCCGAACCCGAACCCGAACGGGTTCGGGTCGGGCGGGTTTCAACGATAACGGTTTCGGGTCGGTTTGGGTTTTAAAAAGAGTTTTCGGGCTCGGGCCCTAAAAACCCGAAAACCCTAAATTTGTTTAATTTGGCGGCACATACTTATGTTTGTACTTGTGTCCTTATGTTCTGCTTATATTGTGTACTTATATTGCAAATACTGTATGTGCATAAATATATTTGCACATTATTTAACTGCATTTGATTATTTAATTTGTTTGTGTAAGAATTACTTTATTGTAAGCGTATTAACTTTTTAACAGTTTTTTGTTGGAAATTATTAACTTTTCATATTTGACAAAAGGTTTGAGTCTTTATTAATTATTACACGGTTTTAAATTTAGGAGTAAAACTCCAATAGGATTTATTATTAGAAAATCATCGTTGATTTTTATCACAAATGTGACATTAACATTTGATATTAATATTTTGACATGTTATAATATTTACATGGTCATTACAAAATTTCGGTTTCGGGTTCGGGTCGGGTTCGGGTCGGGTTTTACATTTTCATGATTTTCGGGTTCCGTTCTGTTCGGGTTTTGTTACCCGCGGGTTCGGGTTGGTTCGGGTTTTTGTTTTTGGAAATTTTCGGGTACGGTTCGGGTCGAGTTTTTAAAATTTGGACCCGCGCTCACCTCTAGGTAAAAGGCTAAAGCATAAAATCACAATTACAAAGTTATTGTTAGGACAGCATTTCACGGCAGTTTCAGAGCATTTCTGGTTTAAACTTTAGATTTGAGTAAATTATGTACTATAGAATTTCGTTGCAATTTGACATTTAACATTTCGTGATTTAATTCCGCTTATGGAAACTGTACGTATACTGTAAAAAAAGTTGAGTAAAATTAGCACCAATTCAATTGTTGGATAAAATTCGCCCGGGATTGCACGACTAATAAGCAAAAGTTGGTAAATTTTATTAAATTTTTAGTAACGTCTATCCAACTTGTTGCTTTGGTGGCAATTTTGCTCAACCTCGAGTAAATTCCCCATCCGCAAAAATTGGTCGCCAAATGGTCGAAAAATGAGCAACCCGACCGTCGGGTTTTCATACGGCTAAACGACGTCGGAGAGACGTCGACTAATGCGACGAAAATTTTGCGACCACTTTTAGCAGTTGATTCGACCATCATATTATAAGACAATACGACCATATTATTTTAGGTCAGTTTAACTACTTTTTCAACGCCTTTTCCACCGTCGCATAATTGAAAATTTTTCAACGCCTTTTCCACCGTCGCATAATTGAAAATTTTTCAACGGCTTTGCGACCGTTGCATAATTTAAGATTTCTCAACGTAAAATCCACCATTTCCCCATCCAAGTGCCATGCTTCCGCGATTCTCAAGTCAGTCCACACCATCACATTGTGCTCATCGAGTCACACTTATTTCTTGTCCTTCCAAATTAAAAAATAAATCTTCATGTCATCCCAAATTGACAAGGCAAAAAAATATTCCATAGTCCAATTCGATTCCTCAGGGACAAAGTTAGTTGAGATTGTCCCAATAATATGGATCGAAGAAGACCAGAAAGAAGTATTTTGGCCACCTTGTAAAGGATCTGCCTTAAAGACTATGGTGAAAAAGTGCGAAATTGTTCCGCTGCCATCCTGGACTTCTCACACTTTTGAAAAAATTCTAGGAAGTTATGGTAAGATTTAGAAACATCTTTTGTTGTATAATAAAATGTCGGTTCAATGTATGGCCTGTGATAATTTACTATTATTATTAGGTTCATTTCACGACGCCTGTTTGAAGCTAAAACAAGCTGAGGATACCTCAAACATTGAAAGTAGCCAGGAGGACGACATTGGAATCCGACGTGGACGCAGGGTCCAGAAAAAGAAGGATGTCGTAATTGAGAGCCGTGATTCAAGTAGTGATTCTGAATTGGATCTGGATAATAGTTTATTCCTTGCTCCTCCCACAACGCAAATCAGTGAGGATCAATTTGACATTACGATCGGTAAGTTAACTGGGTTAACTTCTATTTTTATATTTCTTAACATTTATATATTTAACTTGTTTTGTTGTCAAGAATCTACCGGCGACCAGCCCCACCCTCCAGATGAGAATAATCAGCAGGTAGCAGTCGTTCCAGAAATTCCTCAACCTGTTATCGTTCAAGAGGATTTTGATGTTGAACAGGATCCTAAGTTATTTTTGGCGACGGCAGCGGATACAGCTGACATCAAGTCTCTAATTGAAGGCATGTTTTTGTTAATATGTTATACATATTATATTTCTATATTTATGGCTATTACACTTATTGCAACTTATTTTATTAATTTGATGCTGTTTAGGATTCATGAAAAAAGTTTCGAGTTATTAGAGAGACAAGCAGAAGATATAAGGGAAATTAAAGCTGCCATTCACACGTTGCGTGCAAATTCACAAGGTGGCAATTTGCTCCCAGATTATTCTATTATACCACCTTTGCCGATCGCTGGGAGATTGGAACTCGTGGCTTTTGAGGATTGGCTGAAATCATCCGATTCCCATAAAAAACTGCTGGTACAATAAAAACATATTTCTTAAATAATGTTGATCCAAATTGTGTGGTAACTGAATTTATGAAACTGCAGATCTCATATTTGAGTACAACTGGCGGTTCAAATACTGACAGGAATACTAGGCAGGTATTGCTAAAATTAATTGGTGGCAGTTTGAGATGTCAAATTAATTATACCGGGAAAGGTAACAAAGTCGCATTGGAAAATCTGGAGATTTTGAAAATTTTAAAGGGTGAGAGCATGGTGTGAAGTAAATAAGTGTTGCAGCTGGTTTTCATCATTATTATTATGTCATTTAGATTCTCTCCGTACTCGGTATCCTGTGGCCAATGACGACGAGATATTAGGGACAGCAAAGAATTGGTTCAAGTACGCCCCTAAAGATGGAGAAGACCAATAGGACAGGTCGGTCGCCCAGGAATTTAAGACGTATTATTGCAAAACGAGTCCAACAGAACATTGAAAACACTCAGCGACAAATTACTCCTACTCCAGAAAATAATAATAATCATTTAAATGATATTAATACGGTAGATACTGATAGATTAGTAAATAATTTTATTCACTCAGAGTCAGAGGAGCGAAGTCAGATTTTGTTTAGTTTAAAAAGTAGCGTAGTAGCGCCCAGTAGCGTTTTAAAATTAAACGAATCATTATTAAGTAGCTTCAGCTACTTTATGTGAAGACTTTGTCTGTCTGTCTGTCTGTCTGTCTGTCTGTCTGTCTGTCTGTCTGTCTGTCTGTCCGTCTGTCTGTCTGTCTGTCCGTCTGTCTGTCTGTCTGTCCGTCTGTCTGTCAGCAGGATATCAGGAGAACGGATCGAGATAATCGAAATCGGTTTTCGCCATCATACATAGGACCCCAGGGGGAGGATCCTATCAACTTTTGGGGGCAACCGGACCACACCCCCTTTGGCGACAGGGGGTGTGGTCGGGGCAAAATGAGATTTTTAGTGCAATTTAATCTATAGGTGAAATAGAGTAAAATTATGTGTTCCGGAGTTGTGCCACACCCCCTCGGCGCCAGGGGGTGTGGTTGGGGCAAAATGAGATTTTTAGTGCAATTTAATCTATGGGTAAAATTAGGTGAAATTGAGTGAAATTAAATGAAATTAAGTGAAATTAAGTGAAATTAAGTGCTTCCCCGATTGTGCCACACCCCCTCGGTCCCAGGGGGTGTGGTCGGGGCAAAATGAGATTTTTAGTGCAATTTAATCTATGGGTAGAATTAAGTGAAATTGAGTGAAATTAAATGAAATTAAGTGAAATTAAGTGAAATTGAGTGTTTCCCCGATTTTGCCGCACCCCTTCGGCGCCAGCGGGTGTGGTTGGGGCAAAATGAGATTTTTAGTGCAATTTATTCTATGGGTAGAATTAAGTGAAATTGAGTGAAATTAAATGAAATTAAGTGAAATTAAGTGAAATTGAGTGTTTCCCCGATTTTGCCGCACCCCTTCGGCGCCAGCGGGTGTGGTTGGGGCAAAATGAGATTTTTACAAAAAATTAATCTATAGGTGAAATAGAGTGAAATTAAGTGTTCCCGAGTTGTGGTGGGACCGTTTGGGGTGAAGTACGTCTGAAGCTACTTCCGTATGCTCGTTTGCGACGGTTTATTTAATTTACGAACAAGCTGTCCTAATAATTTTAGTAGAAAGCCGAGAACGGCTAAAGATGTAGATATGTGGAAGGCGACAGAGTTTAGGTCATTTTTACTTTACACAGGTCCTGCAGTTCTTAAAAGTGTTTTGCCTAAGAGTAAATATCATCATTTTTTATTATTGAGTATAGCGACTTCAATTTTGATAAGCGAGAAAGCGCAAAATGTTGAATGGAATGAGTACGCTAACAAATTGTTTAGATTGTTCGTTTCAAAAATTAGCGACTTATATTCAGAAAATTTTCTAGTATATAATGTGCACTGTTTAATTCACATTGCTGCTGATGCCATGAATTATGGGAGACTGGATAACTTTGAAATTTCATTTGACTTAGAGAATAATATGCAATTTATTAAAAGAACATTAAGATCTCCTTATAAACCGTTCGAACAATGTATAAGTAGATTAAAAGAAAAGGAACATTTAAAATTGTCAGCCAAGCCTATATCTCCATCATGTCAGAGTAAATTTTCTAAAGGTAATAATTGTTATAAAATAGAGACTGGTGAAATTGTAATTATTATTAGTTATGTACCTGGCTCCGATACATTACTAGTTAAAAAATTTACAAAAGTTGATGACTGGTATGTTGTTCCATGTAAAAGTACGATTGTTGATGTATATTTAGTTTCAAAGTTATCTAGCGCTGTACATATTAATTTAAGTTCATTAAGGCAAAAATGTTGGTTAATGGAGTTGGAAGGTGGCATTATTTGTCTTCCTTTACATAACACTAATAATTGATTCTTTTGTAATGAATGATCGATTTTTGTATAATAAAGAATCACGTTGCCAATATTATCGTTGTATATTCATTATTAAATCGACGGATAAACGACGGTGAATTATGACCATAATGCGACCATACTTTCAACGGTATTTCGACCGTCGATTTTATGTTGATTCCGACGATCAAATCCACGTTGAATCAACGGTCGCATTTTAGGAGAATATGGATGGTTGTTTAGACTAGGTTCTGCCGGCCATATGTGACCAATTTCCGACTGCGTCGTTTCGACGTCACTTTCAACCAATTTTGCGGATGGGGTTTTGGTGATTTTTTTAGTGTGTATGTATTTATAAACTTACAAAGAAAAAGTTATGTATTTATGTAGTAAGGATAAGTATGTAGTATGTACATGTGTCCCATGGAACAGAAAACCCTCATTTAAACATTTACACATTTAATTTCAGTTGGGACCCTTCCCGGATCTTCGGTCAAAGATGTCATGCTCTGAGGCGTTGGCGACGAGTCGCCCTCCCTGCTCGGCGACTTCCTTCGCAATTTCGTCAACCTGGAATGCCTCTCCTGCTGGACGAAGTGTCCCCCAAAGAAGCTGGCTCCAACCAGGGAAATCTCGATGATCGACATCAACCGCGATTTAACTTCCGGTCATAAATTGATCAAGCTCTCTGTCTGCGAGGCCAACCTCGTCGTCCATCCTGAAGACAACATTGCCAACATCGTGAAACATAATTTAACTCAATTTTACACTACTAATTGTCATTTCTCTCCTGAAATTTATGCTCATTTTCACGAGATGTTTCCTAAATTGAGAAAGGTCTCGTTTGGAAACAAAATACTGGACCAGTCTGCTCTTCTCTATGAACAAGAAAATGAAAAGGCACCTAAGAGGAGGAAGATTTCCCCCGCAGCGGAAACTCTAATGTCTGCTCAATCAGTCCAATTAGTAAACAATATCCTCAAGATTAAGGATATCGAAATGATCCGAATTGCGTGCTTGGATTGAGAATTGGGCCCTAAAAGTAGGACGGTGAAGAACAACGTGTTGAACTTCCTGAAACGGGCAGGGTGGACGACAAATCCTAAGAAAGACCCCCCCCCCTCCGATTTTCTCGTAATGAAGGACCCCACGACGGGTAAATGGGAAATGGATCCAGCAATAAGTCCGGAGGGGAGAAATGCCGATGAAAACACGTGGGAACATGACATGTATGCACTATCTTAATAATTAAATAAATTTATATTCGTTTTTCTGGTTTGAATCTGTATTGTTGCCTTGTTTTCATAGGTATTTGGACTATACGGACAAGTTAGAATTCGAATATTTTGGACTGAGCAGGATCTTTAAGGATTTCGACACATTTAAAAATTACAATGTGGTTTAATGATTCACAGAGCTTTTGAATATGTTGGCCAAGTAACTTTTGAGACTGGGTAAAATTGTATATTTGTAATGGTTTTGTGAATGGCTTTCCTGGGTTAAGCTAAATTACTTAGATTTAAGGTTGTTACATACATATTGATATAAAAAGTGGTTCGTTTTCAAGTATGCATATGTGCAGTACATACATTTACTTCCAATATTTACCCTAGTGCAAATTTTTAATGTGATGGCATTACCTTCCGAATTTGAGTAAACTAATTTTTAATTGAAGTAAATTTTCAACGGATAAAAAATCTGCAAGCATCTATATCTACTAGCTTCAAGCTAATCTCATTCCACCAAAAAAATTGTTATCCACTTACATAGTCCGACCATAAGTTCCCGTGAATGCATTTCCGGTGATAAAGCCCAAAGTATTAGAGCTATCTGATAGAAATTTTTGTGGATGAACAAGGTATTAATCTTGTTTAGAAATCATAACTTCGTTTTCACAATTTCCTCCACGGGCTTGTACACAAGACATAAGTCGTGGCGAAAACTGTTCGATCGCGGCACGCACGGATTTCCAGGGAAAAGCGCCAGATCTTTAGTAAGTTCGACCTCAGCCCTTCCACACTTGGGTGAAATTTAGAGCATACTTGTACCTATAATTTTGACCACCAGTCATAATTTAGGGGATTAAGGTCTGCAGATACTGAGCACCGTTCTACGGATGAAAAAAAGTCATGGAAATTCGTCTGAAGCCAGTTTTGGACAATTTTGCACCTTGCGCAGGAACAGGGTCTTGTTGAAAGGTCCAATGTCGATTTTCGGAGGGTCCAGGGTTCAGGTTATTAACGTTTGGCTTTAGGACACTCTGAAAATAATTCTTGGCTTCAACTTGTACCCTTTGCGGTAAAAAACAGATTTCATTTCTCCAGCCAACTTGCTCCCATGCACACCACGGTGATGACTTCGTATTGACTTCCGCATACTTAAACGGATGTCAGACTTCTGTACAACAAATATCTGGC